TTATAACTTTTCGCATTTCTTTAAGAGAATTAAAAGGGCACTCTGGATGCAGGCTGTGCTTGCAGGGCACCCAGCTCTCTGGACATTGAACTTCTGCTGTGTGCAGTGAGACAGTGCTGCAATCGGTCGTCCTCTGCTCAAAGCATCAGGCATAGCTTTGTCCTCCTCTCAGGCTTTCGTCCAACATGCAGCCCCTCCTAGCAAACTCCCCAGTGGTGATCCTCCTTTATCCTCCCTTTTATTTAACTAGAAAATGGCTCAAGAAAAGGTTGCTTGTACTTTCGTGTTCTCTCTACATTTTTGTCTTAAAACACATAAACAGTTATTTGTGATGGTGCACACCTGTACTCCTAGCTATTTGGAAGGCTGAGGCAGGAGGATGGCAAGTTCAAGGCCTGGCTAGGCAACTTAGCAAGCTCTTGTCTCAAAATAGAATAAAGGAGAACAGGAGAGATGGCTCAGTGGTACAGGACTTGGGCTCAATCCTCAGTACTGTGAAAAAACAAACAAAAAACACATATATAACGAGAGAAACTACAAATTCAGTCCTCATAGCTGAACATAAAGAGAATAAAAGAGCCAAGTGTGAGGGTGCAGACCTATAATCCCAGGGTGGGTTTGGAGGATCAAAAGTTTAAGCTCACCTTGGGCAATTTAGCTGTCTTAAAAAAATAAGAGAAAAGGGGTGGAGGGCTGGGTTGTAGAAGAGACAGAGACAAAGACAGAAAACACTAATAGGGCCTATCTGAATAGTGTTACAGTTTCAACTGACTTCCAAACACTCCCCAAGATTTCTAAAACCATTCCCAATTCCAGCCTCAACCCCAGTGAGGCGCTGGTACATTCATCATCACCACTGTGCCGCCTATTTTTTGTGTGCCATCCATTTTGTTCACATCATGACACTATTTTTATTTTTAAATCTAATTCAGGGCCATGGAGATAGCTCAGTAGAATAAATGCCTGTGGGGCAAGCATAGGGTCCTGAGTTCAGTCGCTGGAACCACAAAATCAATCAATCAATCAATCAATCAATCTACTTCAACTTCACTAAAGTTCAAATTATGTGATAAAATAAACCTACTACTGCATCTCATTTTCTCCAACTCTTATTACGCCAATGTAAAATGTCCTATTAGTTGCTCAAACTGACAATCACTATCATTTACTAATGACTGGAACTTAGCAAACCCAAATATCATTTCAAATACTATTGTTATAGCTCAGCTACAAGCCAGGGCCCCTCAGTAGACAGGAAGCCAGCACAGAGCAGCAGGACTCTTCCCTCTAAAACTGCAGACTCCACTAGTTATCATCACTGTCTGGGGCTCTGTCCCAAAAGCGATGGAATCTAAATCCAAAATGCATTCCTAGGGCTAGGGCTATAGCTCAGCAGCACAGCACCTGCCTGGCAAGCATGAAGTTGTGAGTTCAATCTATTCCCAGTACAAAAAAAAAGTATTCCTTTTCTTCTTTACTCAAAACAAATCACTTTAATTAAATGTAATGAAAATTACATTTAATTAATGGAAAGTGTGTACATTTACAAAATGCATCATCCAAGGCATTTTCTACTGTCATGCTTCCAAGGATGAATTTTAAAGACACAGATAGTACTGGGTTGAGGAAATTTAGCAGACTCTTTTTGTGACCATAATGAAGTACCTGAGGTAAGTGAACTTTATAAAGAACAGGTTTCTTTAGCTCTCAGGTCTAGAGATTCACCAGCATGGCACTGGCACTGCTAAGCCCTGGTGAGAAACTCACTGCAGGGGTGCCCGTGAGATCACACGGCCACTCAGGAAGCCAGGCCCGGGAGACTGGGGTTCCACACCCTGCTGAAGCACGCTCCCCAGGACACATGGGCCTCCCCCTAGGCTCTGTGCTTACAGGGTCGCTACCTCCCATGGCCACAGTGGCAACTAGCGCAGCCTGTGAGCCCTTAGGGGATGAGCAGCACCACAGCAGGAAGCAGTGCTGCGCCTGAGAAGGCAGCAAGGGCTTTCATGCCACAGATCCCGTGTGAGTTTAAATCTCAGAGCCCATGACCACTGACTGATGAGTGATGGCCTGAGATGCTTATCTCAGCAGTGGCTCTGGTTAAGTTCATTTTACTATTTCTAGTTTATAAGTGATAAATTGCTCAAAAGAACACATAAAAACATTTTAAGTGATTTCTAATAATTATAAATTAATATCTAAGGACTGGAGGCAAACAGCTAAGTTGTCAATACCCAGTTCAGATAGTTTCAAAGATCTGTTTTATTTTTATATTTAATTGCACAGTTTTCTCACAAATGGTAGCTTCTTTGCTTATACTAAAATTACAGTTAGGCACAGTGGCACACACAAATAATCCTAGCCCTAGGGAGACTGAGACAGGAGGATCATCATGAGTTCAAGACCAGCCTGAACTACACAGTGGAATCTGTCTCCAAAATGAGAGAGTATATTATGTGTTTACAGATCTTACCTGAATACTTATCCTTTAGGTGGGTTGCTAAGTCTGACATTTTGACAAAGGAGGATGTACTTTCTTGAAATTTTAATTTAAATGCAATTGCCCTAACATCATCATCAAATAGACACTCAGAAGATGACCAGGGTGTTGTGTGCAATTCCAAGCTCTCCAATATGCAATTGCGCTGAACATAAAGGTATTTAAATTCCCAAATGTAACCTTAAAACAAGAACATATAAAAATTAAAGGTTACCAAAATTAAAGGTCACATATAAAAATTAAAGGAAAGAGACTAGGCTCAGAATCAGATTAAATAGATTGACCTAAATAAATCACTTAAGTACAACTTTTGTCACTAAATAATTTGAGTATAAAGATACAAAATATGCCAGGTATGCTGGGTCACACCTGCAATCCCAGTTCTCTGGAAGCTGAGGCAAAAGGACCATGAGTTCAAGGTCAGCCTGAGCTACATAGTGAAACTCTGTCTCAAAAAAATAAAACCAAACAAACAACAACAACAAAAAGAAAAAGGACACAAAATATGTATAAATGTGTTAAGGCCATGGGATACAAATACTAGAAATAATTATAATAAATTTTTTCTACTAATTTATTAGTCTTCTAAGCAAAAGTCATAATTTATCATAACTAATTGCTTTTAGAAGTAGCAATTTCTCATTTTGACAACTATAAAATTTTATTCTTTTAATCTGAAGAGTTTTTTACAGGGATAGTTAAGTAGCCACAGGGCTACTATAACCAATATTTCACTCATTTTTCAAAATCTTCATTATCTTACCTAGCTAACTTCTCCAGAACAACAGTGACAAGAAAGCATTTAGATATGGTAATACCTACTTTTAACTCTCAGTAATGACCCTAATTTTTAAACCACAGGAGCACATACCTCCTTGCCAAAATAACTGTATTCCCTATCAATAAATTCAACCTTAAAATTATAATAGCTGGCCTGCTCTTCCCTTTTGCAGCCATCGCTGGAGTTGCAGCAGCCAAAATGAAGTTCAATCGTTTTGTGACTTTGGACTGAAGCAAAAACTGTAAAAGGCATTTCAATGTGCCTTCCCACATTCGCAAGAAAACTATGTCTTCCCCTCTTTCCAAAGAGCTGAGACAGAAATACAATGTGCGCTCTACGCCCATCCAAAAGGATGATGAAGTTCAGGTTGTGCGAGGGCACTTTATAAAGGTCAGCAGATTGGCAAAGTAGTCCAGGTTTACAGGAAGTATGTCGTCTACACTGAATGGGTGCAGCGGGAACAACTGTCCACGAGGGCATTCACCCCAGTAAGTGGTTATCCCCAGGCTAAAATTAGACAAACACCACAAAAAGATCCTGGAACACAAAGCCAAGTCTTGCCAAGTAGGAAAGGAAATGGGCAAATACAAGGAAGAAACGATTGAGAAGATGCAGGAAGAAAGTCCTCCTGTGTGCAGCTTCTAATTAAAAGCTGCTAAAATGAAAAAAAAAAAAAAAAAAAAAGCTGGCCTGGTGGTGCAAGCCTCTAACTCAGCACTCAAGAGGCCAAGCAGTACAGCAATTAACCACTGAGAAGAATGTATGCAGTGTATTATTTGTTGAAACTGTACTT